ATTAAGGAAAAGGAACTTTATAGGGAATCGAACTGCAAGCTTCAAGGTACACAGACGATTTTCAATACTACAGATAAGCAGCAACTATCAGTAGCTCAGGTACTTGATGGGGTGGCCTTGGTCCAGCTTCAGGATATTCGGTTAGCGAAAGATACGAAAAAAAAGTCAAAAGCACCTCAAAGGACACCTAGATTGAAGAACCCAATGCCATGAAAGAAAGTTGTCATTCAAGGCATAAAAAAGACAACAATACCTGCCCACAGCCAAACACCTCCTCCCCACCAATGTGAGGTAGTGGTTTGTGATACCCCGACAGTTATATTGCTGGATCCTATGGTTGAAGAAAGTAACTCGAAAACTGAGCTTCTCAGTGATCATGAGTGGAATTCCTCGAGTCTGGCATCTGGCCGACTACATTATGCAACTCAGACTTCCACAAAATCCAGGCAACTCCTTCCTGACTGTCCCCTCCATATGTCTCTTCACACCCCCGCTGGCAATAGGGTCCCTTTCACTATACTTCTTTCAGTATTCCGGTCTTTATTCTCCCATCCTCCTAACTCAATTTTCATGTTTGCTAACATTTTCCTTAGTGCTGGGTCTGCCATTTATTTTTGTTTTCTGGGTTCCTATCATTTTCCTAGTTCTCTTGTTTCTTTCTGGTTGTCGATTGCATTATTTTTGGGGTAGTTATGTCGATTTTGGTCTTTCGCTTCAACCGGGAGCCCCGGTGAAACCCGTGTGTCAGTTCACGGACCTGTGTCATATCACGGTAGTTTACGTTAATCAGCACACAAGCAATCTTACATCCGGTTAACGCGCCGGGCTAGCTACTGGTGCATAGCACGAAAACTAGCCCCAAGAAGGATTACTGCGCCTGCAAACCCCCTCCTCTGTTTCCCCGGTTCGCGGGTTCAGCCATCCCTGTCGTTTTTGCGGAATATATTGGTTCAGCTCAAACCCCACCGAAATCATAACTATGAAGCATGAATCCCCCCTAATGCGATGAATTGGCAAAAATACTTGAAGCGTTTTAAAATTGGACTACTACTGCATTCCACCGAAACCTGACAGCTTTTCTTGGATTCAAGGGTGTGCGATAGCAAACCTTTCTTTAACCCCCACCTCGAGATTACGAGAACCTCTATAGCCGTCGTTCCTTAAACCCGCAATGCTGTTCAGCGTTTCCCGTGACCGTAAAATGCGCTTGTTACGCCTCCCCCTCCCCCTCCCCCATCCTGAACGCCCGTGGTACGGTTACTGTGGGGTAATCAGCCAGGTGAAGGTGCATTGCGCAATCCTTCATCCAGGCGAGTACCGGTACGGCAGTATCAGATAGATGGATGGGATAGATGGGTGGGTGGAAAGAAAGCCGAGTGTAATTGTAGTCTAGACGAGAGCTGGAGGGGCGGATGATGGGAATGTGTGGATCCTCGGCTTCTTTTTTTCCGGTGCCCCGAGATTCTCGCACAAAAAATAAATAACTAAATAAATAAAATAAAAACTGGTGGTGTGGTGTGTCCCCCGAGTGACGGCTAGTCAGGTACGAGTATTGTACGAGTACTGTACTTGCATGGTATCGGCACTTGAATTGCCGGCAGCTTCTTGGTCCAATGCCTTACCACAATCAACCACCGTCTTGCCTCAGGACCTTGGCACTGAGTTGGACAAACAAGGACGTTGTGGGTGTGTCGAGCATTTTTGAATGAAAGTGATGGTGTGCGTAGTACAGTGGTCTTGCCGGCGTCCCGTATTGCCTGCTGTGCTCGAGTGCTTGTCTCCTACACTAGCATCCGACTGGTTCAAGTAAGTTTTGTAACCCATCCAAGATACGGGAAGCAAAATGACTGTAGCAGGATGTCGGTGGTCAGATTCTTCGACATGCAGTCTGTACTATTTACAGTATTTGTATGATACCTCGACTTCTTGGAGGCCCACCGGAGGCTTGGTGAGCCGAAGTCCGTCTTTGGGTCAATCCAACGGATACGGTATTTTATGATACCCAGTGATGGGAATATATTACTACATCGGGTAGTTGTGTCGAGTGAGGAGTGGTGACTGCAGAGTGTCTGGTGCCTGGGTATCGCAAAGGATAAATTTTTGGTGGCGGAAAGGGAGCAATGATATATCGTGTGCTGGTAAGTACCGGTGACCTCAGCGAAATGCTCCCACCCCCTGAAAGCGCTCGATAATACCACTCTAGATGATTCTCGGATAGATATCCCGGCTCATTGCGGGGAGATCAATGTACGGATGACTACGCACCGCACCCGAGCATAGTACTTGTATGATACGGGGACCGCCCTGGACTATTCCCGGGCAAGGGACTGAGTGCCGAGCTTCTACTCCCGGCCCCCTAGGCCTGGCCTCGATTGTTAAGAGGGCGCTTGTTTTGCCTTCCCCAGTGCTGTATTGTCCATTTTTGGTACAGGCTCTATTTCTCCATCTGTCGCGGGGATACTGACATTGTACGAGTACTGTGCAACGCGGAGTCGGGTCTGTCGTTGTTCCCTGAGGTCGTCCGCGCAATTCTCTTAGTGGCCAGTCCAGGCACTATAATATATTACTCTACAGATGCCGAGTTTGGGAGATGAAAAGAGAGAATCGTAGTCCTGACCGTGATGCGCTACTCGAGTACCTGCACCGTGGCTTGTACTTGCACTGTGGCTTGCGCATTGCGGAAGGGGCCGGCAGTTACAGGGCTGAATTCGTTGGGACCAGCAAGAGCGCTACTCCGAAGATATCGATATGTCGGTAGACCTCCAAAGCACGCTAGTAATATTAGGGTGCCGTTTAACTTAGCCCTCACGGCCAATTCCCTTCTTTAGCGCTAGGTCATCTCGTTGATGACTACCTGAAAGAGACCATTAGCCACGCCTTCCCTTGGAGGGTTGGGTTTCTAGATACAAGTACAGATATACGACCGATTCTACTCGAGTACAGACCAGATACGCCACTTTCCGTTACCGTACCAGTAGCCCGCGCAAAAGTGAGAAATTACGTATACCCGTTGGAGGATGCCCAAGGCATTTCTAGCCCAATTCTAGAAACCTAGAAGTGCAGTAGCATGATCGGCTGGACAGGCGCTAAGGCCCCACAGCCGAGGATGCTGATGGAGGGCGGATCCAACAGCGATCCACGAGGAATTTGTTCTGAGGTCTGGCAAGTGCACTTAACTGCGCCTGTATGTCGAGGGTTCCGCGATTCCCGTGGAGCAGAAGGGAAACGATTTCTTGGGCTGTCTCTGGCGCCAAGTCGGGGACTTTCGGTCCAGAACCTAGCTAAGCTACCTTCGAAAGCTACCGTAAGCGAGTGAGAGGCAGCATCAGTATGGACCATCCATTGTAGGAATGGATGGAATCCGCCGGACCAAAGTTATATCCTAGGCATGACCGTGAGTTGGTTACGCAGCAGCGAGTCCCACATCGGTGCGCTATTACTAGGAAAAATGCCTATAAGTTAGTATAGTACCTCGTACACGGTGCAAGGTAGGTGATACAACATTTCAAGCATGACACTTTGTTTGTCAGGCCACGGTATAGAGTAAACGCCGAATGGAGATTCCTTCATTAGCAGACTCCCAGAGCTGGAGCCAATATGGCAGAAGTTCCGCTGTAAGTAGCATACCGGTAAAATGTTAGGGAGCCCGGACCAGTTTTATGGATTAAGCACCAGGTGTCAACAAGCCACACCCCTAACATTTCTCTGTGAAGTTCTGAGATTCTGAATCCTCGATGTTATTCCGTTTCGACGATAAAAATCCAGCATTTTGGGGGGAGGGAAATCTCTCCCACGAGCCCTTCCCTTATCCAGAGCACAGTGCAGCACAGTGCCCGCCACGCCGCTCGTACTTTGTGCCGTAATAGTAACTGACGGAAATCTGGGATTTTTAATCCTGCTCTCGGCTGATTGAATCGAAGAATCCCTAAAAGACTTAACATACTCGAGTACAACATTGAAAAAACCTCCCTCTAGTCCCCCATCCCAAAATCAGGAAATTAACCAAATTAGAGGCTAAGTCACCCATGAGGGTTCGATTACCCGATACTCAGGATCCTCATGCAAGTCAAGTGTTAGAGGGGGAAACCAAAAGAAGGCGGGCAGTAGAAACAACATATAGTCCACTGTATGATAGAGAACGCGTTCAACCAGGGCACTCCTACTTGTACAGTACATTTTGAGTTGGATTCAGCAGTTTGACCACCGGCGCTCGAGTACGCAGACTGCTCAAGTACCCTAGTCTACCATCGCGCACGGTGGCGTTTATCACAATGAGCCAACCTTGTCCCAATTTGGAGATATCGGTAGCGATCACTCGGCTATGGTGCGATGGATTGACGATGGATGAGGTTTCCAGGATAAACCCGCATCACTAGCCTTCTTTCCCATCACAAATACTTTTTACCTCCTAGACCGAGGGTAAATTCGACAGGAGAGCTTAAAATTTGGATACCAGCGATTTATTCTTTTGGAAACCTTGCGTATTGCATTTCAATCTTTGGAAATACTGTTTGGCACGTCGTTAATACCCACGCCCAGTGTCCGATAGTGCCCGTGCCCGAGCCCTTCACATAAGTGCTCAGACGATCCTAAGGGGAAGGATAGACGACAGTGCCCGCATTCCAGGCTGCAATTGATATCGCCAGGTTATGTCCCGATATAATAGCAAGACGGCCAGCCTAACAATTCTCCGAGGACAAGTTATCAGTACTAGAGTCTGTTTTCCCGGTTGGTGCCATAGTGATTTGCACTAGAGTTGGTCTTGCGGTCCAAGGAGGAGTGACACCCCATGACATCACCATTTTCCATTCAGCTTTCGTCACCGCATAAACCTACTTCATAGCTCAGCACCCTCCTCGAAACTGCCTTCGCTCCCTCTCCCCTACCACTGCTTTCTTCCCCTTCCTCGGTAGGCAAATGAGGAAACCCCCAGACGATATCTTCACCGAACCGGAGGAATTTGAAAGCTCCTTGACCTCAGTTACCACCAATCTCAGATAATGGGGCTCTGGAGCTCCCGAAAGCCTGATGATGAGGTTGACAATGGGGACGCCGAATCCTCACATGGGCCCGGAACAAGAGATCATGATGATGAAAGGACCAGTCTGCTACCTCCTCCCGGTGCAGGCCACCGTCTCGATCCGGATGATCCGGCCGTCACACCATACAATCTTTTGTCCGTGAGATCACTGAGATGGGTTTCTATCGTTCTCCTAGCGGTGTCCTCCCTATGGTGGATTCTTCTCTTGATATCCATCTTCGTGACACCGCCAGCAATGCATTCGAGGGGCAGTGGGTTCTTTAGCTTCGCGTCAGTACCTCCCTTAAGTACACAGACCAGTCACTGATGCATTCGTCTAGCTATACGACGCTTTCTACTGGAAGCTTAGTGGTTCTCCTTTTATTTTACGTGACGCCTTCCAGATCAGAGCAATATTCCTGGATTACTCTATGTACCCTGCTCTTGGTCGACACCATTATTGTTTTGTCGGTACCCCGTATCCGTGGGGAAGAGGGATGGGTGGGGATTGTGTCCGTCGTAGGGGCAACTTTGGTCAGTGCCTGGGCTGTATGTGTATCTCCCCCCCCCCCCCCCCGGCCTTTCTCTGACCCAGACTGCTATTCCCAGATGTCTAGTGGTGGTAGTGGTAAGCTAGACTAATCCAACCGGTTTGTCAGGTGCTTTGTGACCGTGTTGTCGAGTATGGCAAGGTTGAAGAGGAGGAGCGCTTGACTGGGCGCAGGGAAACAAGGAGGTCGTTGAAGGAATGGCTTTCCGTTTTCACCGTTACCATAACCCTCATCGCCTTTATCGCACTGACTGTTCTGTTCACCGGAAATCTGATTATTCGTGCTCGTGATTTATCTCTTACACCCCCCGGAACGAGATATTT